TCGTCCTGTCTGCGACGTTAAAGAATTCTTGCGGAGTTTGGGGGATCTCCTTAAATGCCTCCTGATCAGCTCTTGGTTCTGTAGTGACTGCCTTAGAGTAGTCTTGGGTTAGTAGTGGCCATAGTTGACCGGGTCTTATCCTGTGGTCCTTAGGAAGTCAGTCAGTAGGTTAGTGTGTCCGGGTAAGGCTACGTGGTGAGGAGTGGGACCCTTGTCGTGCACCAACACCACGATGGACGACTACCCGATGTATGGGTTGCTGGTTGGGTTCTCCCTCTGGGGGACCCTCTGGCGTCTCCTCTTTCCTCTGGGATTTTGGCATACCTTTGCGTGTAGAGTAGGGCCCACTCGAGGTGGTACCGCCACCAAACCATACACGAAGGAGGAGGAGGAGAAGATGGCCGCCATCCTGCAGGAGAGAAAGGAGAAGAAGGAGGCCAAGAAGAAGGCCTTGAAAGAGGAACAGGCGGCCAAACTAAAGAAGATGGAAGAAGAGATGTCCAGGGAGAAAGAGAGGTTGAAAAAGGAAGAAGAAGAGAAGTTGAAGGAGGTGGATGAAGAAGAGGAAGGACCGCCACTGCAAAAGAGTGGGCAGCACAGCGACAGCAGCAGTGATGAGATGGAGAAGAAGATTTCGGAGTGGGTCGCCAACTTATCCCTGGGTGAGGAGGAAGAGGTTGCTATGTACATCCCCAAGGATGAGCAAGAAGCCGCCATGAAGAAATTGGAAGCAGAAGAAGATGTTTTGACGCGGCGGGTGATGGAGGATAAACAGAGGATGGCGTGGAAGCTCGCAGTGATGAGGGAGAAGAAGAGAAGAGTGGAGGCGGCGAATGCAGCAATTCAAGAACTAGCGGAGGTGAGGACTGCCTTAACAACACAATTGACTCCGCAAGTAGATCTCCAACGCAAAGTGGAGATCATCGCCCAGAGCGTTGACCGGTTAGCTAAAGTGCAAGAAAAGCACTATGAGTTTAGTCGCAGCCAGGAGATATCCGTGCGTTCGATGCGAACGGGATTACGGGATTTTGCTCACGAATTAGTAGGCGCTGTGGGATCCGAGGTGAGTCATCGCCTCGAGAATATTGAGCGTTTTTGTGTCGGCGCCATCAAAGGCGTCAAGGTGGTCGCTCCCAAGGAGGAGGAGGCCCGTCCTCGCAGGGAGTCAGTCAAAGTCAAATTCCCTGATTCCTATAGTGGGAAAAGAGAAGAGAACTTTGACAATTGGGAGGCCAATGTTAAGACCTATGTGCATTTGCAACAGGTCTCCCCGGATCACCAGGTCTTAATTGTGATCCATGCACTTAGAGACGAGGCCGCTAGTTTCGCGAGATCCCTTGTTCGTGCTGCCAACTGTAGTGACGATCCAGTTGCGTACTCCTCGTTTACGTCCCTCATTGAATTCTTGAAGCTGCTGCGCGAGCGATTCGCTAATGTTGCCCGTAGTGTCAAAGCCTCAGATAGGCTTCAGACAATACACTCGCGCCAATGGAAGAGTGCAAGGGCACTCAAGGGCACAATGGATGAGTTGGTGGCTGTTCCTGACCAGAAGGTCACGGAAACCCAGTTGGTCAACCTTTTCTACCGGGCTATGCCCGAAACGCTGCGTGGTCACTTCTTTGACAAGAGTCAGGACCCTGCTATGACTTATGATATACTTAGCAGGGAAGTGGTCGCGTTCGAGGCGAAGTCTGCGTCGATTTCCACCTTCTGGCACAAAGATTTAGACAAGGGCAAAAAGTGGAAGGGCCGCACTATCTCAGGGCAAGTCAAGACCAAGGATAGCCTTGTGCTCACTTTAGATGAGGGTAGTGTGGACGAGATCCCCTACGACCAGATTGAATGGGGGTTCGAGGAGGAGGACAGTAGTGTGGGCCAGGGGAGGACTTACGCGGCTGGAGGGAGGCAGCAAGGAGGACGAGGCCAAGGCCAAGGGGGCCGGGCCTCAGGGAGCCGGTTCCAGGGCGATCAGGGGGTTGGCGGCAGAGGAGGGAACCACCAAGCGGGAGGTAGGGGTCAAGGTCCCCCGCAAAGCCGTCCTAGGAACAAGTCTCCCTATAGAGTAGGAGGATGGCACTCAGGGCTTCCTCAGGGTAGGCCGTGGGAATCTTTGGGTCTGGACCAGGCTTTATGGCAACAACGATTGAACCGGGGCCAATGCATTTTCTGCGGTGACCCGGGGCATATCATCAAATATTGTCCTAAGTATCGAGAGACCCGAACGGCTGCTCAAGAGCCAAAAGGCAGCCGCCGGTAAGGATAGCAACTGCCCCTACCACTAGGCCATGTGGGGAAAATAGCGCTAGCCGGTAGGAGACTCCCACACCACATGTGCCTACGGCAGAGGTTGCGGGCCGGTGTCTAGACAGTTGTCCCGAGACTGCTTGTGTTAGAGTTTCGCTAGACACCTCCCTCACAGGCGTGGCGGAAGAGTTGAAGAAGAGGAGGCCCGTCTGGGCCAAGATGAAGAAGGAGAATAAAGGGCAACTGATTTTATTAGATGCAGAGATTTTTAGAAGTAGAGTAGGGGCCCTAGTAGACTCAGGGGCCACCCGCAGCTATATTAGTAAGCAAGCGCTGCAGAAGTTGAGGCTGGGACTTAAGGTCCAGAAACTGACAGACCCCATAGTTAGTATCCTCGTGGACAATCGTACCATGGTTGTAGAGGATTACGTAGAGGGAGTTCAGACGTATTTTCGCCTAGAGAAAGATGGGAAGGTGGAGAAGGTCCTCCACTCCCTGACTCTCCTCATAGAGGACAGCCTCCCGTTTGATATAGTATTGGGAATGGATTGGGGAGAGGCAGACGGGGCAACGCTCCATCTGAAGGAGCACGAGTGTAGACTCCCTAGTTCTGCAGGCGAGGCTAAGACTGCCCGCCTGTTTCATGTGTCAGGAGTAGAGAATTCCTTGGTACATTGCTGCCTTAGTGCCCCTGCGTTCGCCAGATTGGTGAAGAAGGAGAAATTAGAGGAACAGGTCTTTGTTGCCTATGTTAGGCCCGTCACTGAGCCTACRGAAGAGAAGCCGATGGACCCTGCGATTGYCAAGCTGCTGGAGGAGTTTAAGGATTTGACYRAGCCGCCGACAGGCACGGTGCCGCGGCCCATCCAGCACCGTATCGAGATAGAGCCTGGCAGTAGAACTCCTAAGGGTGCTGTGTATAGGATGTCCCCGCGGGAGTTAGAGGAGCTTCGCAAGCAATTAGACGAGCTCCTCGAGAAGGGTTGGATTAGGCCCAGTTCGTCTCCTTTCGGAGCGCCTGTTCTCTTTGTTCCTAAGAAAGAGGGAGAGCTGAGAATGTGCATAGACTATAGGGGTCTGAATG